CCTTTCCTTTCCTTTCCTTTCCTTTCCTTTCCTTTCCTTTCCTTTCCTTTCCTTTCCTTATTCATGCTCTTTACCATTTGCTTCTCTTATATTCCAAATCAGATGCCATAGGGACAGCAGAATTCAATTTCTAACAACACCATGGCATATGGAAGATATTGACTGTATATTGCATGTATTTGGTTTATTACAAATTATACTTCAAGGATAATGGATAAGAGTCTCATTTTGCTTCTGCCCTTGTATCCTTTAAAGATTTAATGAAGATACAATTCCAGATTTGATTGAAATTACTTTCTAGCTTGTTTAAAAAGCTGGCACTTGTCTGTGTATATGTATGTGTGTGTGTTAGATTGAGGATCTCCGTTCCCAACTCCTTAGAGCGGAAGAGGACCGTTTGACTCTGCAGCATCAAATATCTCAGGTTGCTAAGCATCCCCGAAGCCATCTAGATGAGCAGCGGGATGACAGGAGGAAGCAAAGAGGTATGACTTTTCCTACTACCTTTAGTACCCATTATTGTGAACAGAAGGACTTAGTACTTGGAACAGTGACCCACATTTTGCCAAGAGGCAGAGATGAAAAATGGTAAGCCCACATCTGATAGCCAAAACTATTTTTTAAAAAAGTGTGTGTAAATGCCCACCATCTCAACTTATTTCTACTCATTATTCATTCCACAAGGGTGCTGTGGAACTATAACACTGAAATGTAAAAAATAGTAGTTACTGAGTAGTTAAAGAAGACACAATTTAACTTATGGAAAATGTATTGCATAACTTTCTGAGAGCAGAACTGAAGTGGAAAGTGCTGATTTCTTATAGGTTGCTGAAGGATTGTGAGACCTACTAGTGTGTGTACTCTATGTGCTCCTCCTGTTGTATGAATCTAGTAGAAGCTGAGAGGCAAGTAAAAGTATATGATGAGTTATGGGAGGGACTCAAGCAACCCTCTGTTTGCCATTCATGTCAGAAAGAGTAATATGGTTACATTCTGTGATTTCATACAGAAGTAAAAAATCAATTATGCTTGGTAGATTTTAGCCTTTGTTTCACTTGGCACTGAACAGATCAGTATAGTTGGATCCCTAAATATTTAGGACTGCTGTGAGGATTATTCTAGGCATCTGAAGATAAAGTCACTCAGTTCTGCTCAAACTGGACTTTGACTATGATTGTCCCAGTCAGGTGGGGAATTTAATTCCGGCTGCTAAGCTTAAGAACCATGCTTGGTTCTGGCACTTTTAATGATAGAGGCTCTAGTCTAATCTGCCAAATACCCAGAGAGGCATGGGAAAACTATTGCCAGAATATTTTCACAATGGAATCACTAGATAATCCATTTGTGACTGACTCTTGAAGTGTTCTTCCTGACTGACTTCCCATGTCTACATTTGAGGTCAAGGTCCTTATGCAGCTAAAACCTGAAAGAGCTCTGGGAGGAAATTTTACCCCCTAGAATTACTAAGGGAGAACAAGGGTTGGTGGGCTCCAGTGCTGGTTGCCTTATTTACCCATATTAACAGTTCAGCACGTTTTTATATTGATTGGAACTATACTACTATCATCTCTTTTTATACAAAACAAAGGAAATAGTCCAGACCCTGCCAACCATGGACCCATACATTTGCTTAATACAATCATCAAGCTATACGTTGTGGGATCTTTTTTGAGCTGCAGATAATCATATTGACTCAGACTGAACACAAAAGTGCTAGAAACTGGGACAGTTGATTTGTTTTTGTATCTCCCTTCATAGCTGGGGTAGACTTTTATTTTACAAAACAAGAAAAGCATACAAAAAGGGGATTGTAAATTACAAATGCCTTCAGCTATTTTAGAAAACTAATATCTTATTACTAGTGTTCTATCTACATCCATGCCTTATTCCTATTACCCTTATCTTTTACTAATATCCTATTCCTAAATCAGTGTTCCTTGTACTAAAGCTATATTGTATTTCCACCATCTATTTTCTGTAGGCTGTTTATCTGTACTATATCTTTAAAATCCTATTTATCTTCCTCTGTTCTATATATCTATTATATATTTCTGTATTGCTGACCTTTATATTTCTTTTGTATTAAACTCTATATGCACTGTTACTCTTTCTACATCTTTACTCCTTTTCTACAGAGTTCAATCGGTCCTTTACCTTTTTGGTCCCTTTTTCTATTTCTGCTTCTTTGCCTTTTCTGCTGGGTGTTTCTGGCTGGGCCTCTTTCCTTTTCTCCTCCTCCAAAGGCTGGCTCCGGCTAAGGGGAAAGGGGGCCTCATGTCAGGGCTGAGGAAAGAAAGAAAGAGGCCCTACACAACCCGGGTGCCACAGCTACTACTTCCTTTCCTGTTGTCTCCTTCATAGTAGGGCTTTGGGGCTTCTGTTTGTCATGTCGGCTCCTCATGAGGCCTGCAGCTGCAGAGCTCCCAGGTAGACATCTTGTCTTCTCCCCTCCTCCCCCATCTGTCCAAAATTGCAGCTTGGCAGCTATGCCATCCTGGCACTGAGAAGGGAGGAGCACGCAGGTGCTGCCAGCCTCTCCTTTCACACCATATGTTAAATATTTCTATCTAAAATTACTGGCTTGGGTCAAAAACGAAAACATTCTCACTGAGGAGCAGGCCAGCTTTAGAGGGGCCAATCAACTCTGGACCACTGTCTGATCCTTTGCTGTCTAGCAAAAAAAAATATTCCTCTCAGCCCAGAGGCTTCCTTTTTGCATCCTTTGTTGATTTCAGATGACTCTTTGATTTGATCTCAAAGAAGAAGCTATGGAAAAAACTAAAGGGATCCTCAATAAATAAAAGGTTGCTCTTTCTCATTCAGCCTCTCCACTCTAACACCTCTTTGAGAGTTAGATGTTCTCCTTGGGGACATGTCTCTGGAGCTGTCTCCACCCAGAGAGAAGGAGAGCAGGAATGTGTTCTAGGCCCTGTACTTTGGTAGTGTACTGCCTCTTTCTCTTACCTCCTGGCTTAGAGGTAGGTGAATGTGAATATTTAAAAAGCTAGTTGTTATCCTGGAGTTAGAGATGGTTTCTGAGGGAAGGCAACTCCTCCATCTGCAGTGTCCCTAATTGGTTTTTCCATTATGCTACAATATGCCATTCAAAGGAGGCAACAGCATGGAACTAAAAGGAAATCAAGTTGATGGAGTACAGACACACATATGTCTAAGCATATGTTTAAATGTTCAGTTAACTATACTGCTCCACAGAAAAATTGTGCTTAGAAGTAGCCCCTTTTTTTCCCCTTTTGGTTTGGTCTGATCCTAAATTGTATCATATGTTCCAGTTGTTGAGAGGTCTGATCCAGAGAGGCAAGAGATGGAGAAACAGATCTGGGAATTAAGAGCACAATTAAACCACAGTGCTGTAATGTCAGAGATAGAGGAGCTGAAGCGATGCGTTGAGCGCAAAGACAAAGAGAAAATGCAGCTTGGAATGCAAATGGAGGTAAACTTTTTCTTACATTATAACCTTAGGGACTTTTACTTTTCAAATGCCCTTTTGTGGGAGATATGTGTACTAAAGCTTGGCCTCACAAACATCATCAGGTGAGAGCTGCAGATTAGAGTTCAGATGTATCGATGCTTCCCTTGTGAAGAATCAAACAGAAAAAATCCTGTACATGAAACCAGCATGTTAGGTATTAGCTTCGTCTTCTTTCCTTCACCATGTTACTTACTTTGATATCGCTAGGGAATTTAGAGGGCAGGGCAAGTAGTAATACTGAGCAACATTCATTCTGTAGTCTTGTTACAGTTTTGAGTAGCATGGTACATAGTCTTACGTCATTGCAAGACTGTCATTTCCACCTGTAATGAAAGTAGTCATCCCCAAGAATGCCAAATATGAAGGCTTTTATTTGTGAAAAGTATAGCTGACACAGCATCCATCTGATCTTGAACAAGTGGAGTAAGGTCAGCTCTAGTTAGTACTTGAATGGGAGGCTATATGGGGCAGTAGACTAGACTGGGAAATAAAAAAAATAAAATAAAAACACCCTGGAAAAAGGCAATGGGAAATCAGTTCTATATTATTGATAAGAAAGAATGGATATGTCCAAGTAGTCACTAGTTGAGCATGGCTTAAGGGAAACTTTACTTTTGTCACAGTGGCTGTAAGTATAACTTACCTCTTGCTGGGTGCATGTCTAGAATTACCAAACTGTTAACCATAAAGACATAATTCTTCCATTATCTAATAACTACAGTTTTAAGACATACGTTTAGCCAGTCGATACATGTGGCAGGATTAGTTTTGACCCAGTATTGGTCAAGCCTCTGAATAGCAGTGACCTGAAGTCAAGATTAAAAAATGTCTAACACAGTTTGGAATGACTACAATTCTGTAGAAAATATGTACCGACAGAACAGTTTCCTGTTTGTCGAGCCACATGTGCAGAAAATTAACTTGCTTTTCCTGGCAACTGTGAGCAATTTCTTTTGAATACGAGCAAGATTAACTAAAAAAACCTGAGAGAATCAGCTGAGAGTGACAACATCATCTGTTACGCTGGAATGGACCAACAAAAAGCAATGATAAGACTCTCATTGACTTCCTCTCTTTTGCCCAGACTGTGCCCCTTTCTTGAGCTGATTTGAAAGGAAAAGTTGCCTAATTTGGAGTAGGCTGATGATCAGTGAGATTGTGTTGGCTAGCATCATTTGTATAGACCAGAGGTTGGTGCCACAATATTTTAAAAATGGGGGGAGGGGCAGTGGGCTGTTGCTGGGAGTGGGACATCATCATTTCAGGCAAATGGATGGGGTCAGGTTGGGAAGGTTGTTTTATAATTGTTTTATGACCATAAGGCCAATTGGAATATTTGCATGCTGCTTTGTCTGAAAATGGAAAAATAGAGAATTGTTACTTTGTAGGGTAACTCTTTGTTGCTGAGTTTCAGTGGAGAGATGCCAGCGTGATGCGAGTCACAAAAAGATTTTAGAGCCTGGAAATGGCTTTGAATTCCCAACCACGGGATGGATGTTAACCCAAATGCAGAATTTAACAATAGACTGGTAGCTAATTGACTCAATATTAAATGATAAATGTATATTATTATTTGACACCATATTTGCATTTAACAATAAAATGACATAGCAGTCTGCCACCATTTAAGGGATTATTCTTTTTGCAACATATGTAATCTTTATTTTCAGTTTTGTTCTAGAAAACAAAACTGTTTACAATGTGTCATTTTTTGTAAACATTGATTCTAGCAATAGTCCTTGAATGGGTAACCCGTTGGTCATTCATACATTTGAAAACAATGTTTCAAATTCCAAAATAGATTTGTTGCTTTATTCAATTGATATAGAGGATACATTATTTTAGAAGACATGACCAAAACTGTACATAAGTTGAGATGATTGCTGTTTTGATTTCTTACTATGATTTTTAATTAGTATGAATCTCTTACAATATTCATGCTATACTTATTATAAAATTACTAAATTTTGACTATAATTTTAAGCATGTATTTGGTCAGAGCTATTTTATGATGAAGGGTTTTCAGTAAAACATTTGAACGATATAAGAAACTAGCATATGAAAGTAATATATAATTTCCTTTATAATCTTGTAATCACAATTGTATTGGAAGCTATAACTTCCTCCGAAGACAGGTTTTAACAGTAAATTCTGTTGAATACAATTCTAATAAAGACATCTGTAAAATAAATAGTCAAGCAAATAGGAATGCAGTTAAGATACAACATGCTAATTGCTTAAAATCCTCTTGCTTCCCATCAAAGGAATAAAATTGAGTGTGATAAAATGTTCACATTTCCTCAAACATTTGAAGACTTAACAAGAAAGGTTACTAGCTGAAATAACCTGTTCCACTTTCTATTTTATCTAGTGGCATCTCAGTCTAACAAGAGTGTCAAATAAGCTACTTTATGAGAGGAAAACAACTTTTCTTTTTAAGAATGTAATTTGGGATCTGATCACTTTTTACATGTGCAACCCCAAAGAATTTCTGGGAATTGTACTGTACAATTTGATGATAAAAATATTCATAGTAGATAGCTAAGAGAGCCTGCTCTTTTGTAAATTTTAAATCCATAGACCTAGACCCCTGAACCATAAGAACTAATTATGTAATTCACATTTTGCTTCCTGCTATTATCCTTTGAGGATAACTTCACTCTTGATGCAACATTAAGCCACAAAAGGCTGTGAACTTGAAAACTACAGTAGTAAAACAGCATCCCATCAAATCTGATCTTTATAGTACCATGTCCATATGCAAGCATAACATTGCTCTTTGCTTTTTCCAGATGGAGTTGAGCAAGATGAGCAAATTTGCTGTATGGATGATTGGGAAAATATAGGATCTATCTGCCTCAGAAGGGCTTGATCAATTTATTTTGTGTGATATTCAAAGTTCTCAAGCTGTTGGAATTTAAAATTGAGATTCACAGGATTCTGTGGGCTAGATCTCTCAGCTTGTTCTAGTCAGAAGCAGCCATGATTGATTGTCTGTTTGCAGTTTGTTCAAGATCGCTAATGAGAATTGGGCTGATCTTGTTACAGAGTTTTTAGCAGGCTGGGAATATTCAGCCCAGGTCATTCCCAATTTTGCCGTTTATGCAATTCTGAAATATAATAAGATTGGGCAAGCCTACGTTGTCTTAGCCGACTACACTCTGAAATATAGTTAAGATAAGGGATCATATATGTTGATGTAAATCCCTGGAAGAAAAGGCATAGTAACAGTAGTAAAATCAAGATGCATGCACAGGCTAGACTGGATGCAAACTTTCTTAAAGCCCTGCAGAAAAATCTTCAGGCAATTGTACGTTTTGGTTAAAGTCTGTATTTTTCTTCATAAAAAACAAAGACTGATATTTCTGATGAGATATTCACTTTTCTCTACTTTATTGTGTGAACTTTTTTTGAATGATACAAAAGGACTATGGGATATAGTTAATTGGGGAAGAAAGAGATATTTTAAACTTGACAATAAAAAAGTTAATTTAGCTTGCACTAATATACCTTTAAAAAGTTATCTGGACAAATTGGAGAATGTTCTGTACATACCAAATACATTCATTCTATTCTTTTAATCTCATGTTGAACCTCATTAACCTTCATGAGTCATTTGTATTCATCAGGATTCTAAGTATTCCCTCATCAATGGTTGTTACTGATTTAATCTGTTTCTTTTTCTTCATCTGAAAATGTTCCGAGCTGATGTTTACATAATTTGAAGCAACATTAGGAGTGAAATAACAAAATTTCTATTTTTAAATAAAATAGAAATGGTAACCTCTCATAATTGTGCATCATCAAAAAGTCCTTGACTGTCGTGCTGAACTACTGTGTACTGTAGGCCCTGTGAACAATTAGTTTATAGTAGGAGTGAATAAATTAGCTGATAGTAGTTATACTGCATACCAGTGTTTCTCAACCTTGACAACTTTAAGATGTGTGGACTTCAACTCCCAGAATTCTGGGAGTTGAAATCCACATGTCTTAAAGTTTACCACATGTCTTAAAGTTGCCAAGGTTGAGAAAGACTGGTGTATATTAAGAAATCATGGGAGCTTATCAGTAGTTCTAATAAGCGTTATCATCAAAGTAGACAATCAAAATCCACATAGCGCAGATGTCATCTAGTCACAAATTCAATTGGATATGATATATTGCCTAATCCCATCAGGGAAGACTCTGTTGAAAAACTATATTTTGAAGCAAACCCTATTTTAAGAACGTTTACAATTTAAAAAGCCTTATAATAAAATAAAATAAAATTTATCACATAAAATAAAAGGTCCTAAAATAAAGTTATACTTTTGTTGAGTTTTTTAAAATCAGCACCTTAAATGCAGAGAAAAAAACTTTTAAAACCATAGCCTGCTTTTTTGAAAGTTAAATACATCTATTTTTGCAAACACACTAGAAACACACATAGATACAAATAGATGGATGTACATACACCCTCCAAAACACCAGCAAGTAATGCAGAAATGGCTGTAACAACATACCCTATTTTGAGCTTTTCTGAAGGATAATAAAAGCTAGTAAAAAACTTTTAAAATCCTGTGTGCAAAGGTTTAACTACAGGTCTGCAACTGGGTAGAGATGTACCCTCACAATGACAGCAGACATGTGCAAAGGAAGTTTATTATGTGTCTGTATATGTTTCCACACAGTGACAGGATTCTGCACATCTGCAAAGCATATATATCAAGAACTATTCCTCTGAGCATGTGCTACACATGCCTTGCAAAAGGAAGTTGGTTATGTATCCAGACACATCCTGATTAATTTGTCTATGCACAAAGAGACCATGCTATACAAAGATAAATGTCTGTCACTAGTAAAGGGGGTGCACAGAAGCTGTTTTTCAGTTTAACTTTTTTTTTAAAAAAAACTCTGTATGCTTTTGAAAAATAAAGGCGTGTAGTTTGAAGATGATAACTTCAGACACCAAAGAGAAGCTT